TGTCGAAGAATTCAAGCTGCTTAAGCTTATTACCATCCTCAGTCTTTACTCAAAAATTTGCAATTTTTTTGCAAACTTTTTTGGACATTTTTGCACATTTACGAAAAATATTAATAATAAACAATGGCATATTTTGTCAGCTTTTTGTATAATTTTGCATATTTTATATAAATTTATCTACATATATCAATAATATGATTACACTCCTGAAAATATTTAGTAGAAATTGAAAACCGATATCTCTATTCAGATTTTTTTTCACGGCAATCCTGTATGCCGGTCCATTAGCGCCTGATCCAATCAGGGTTCAGACATGTGTTTGTTGTCTATTCTGAACCAATATAAATAGTTTGGCGGTAACATCTATCTTCCTATCTATCTCATTGTCCAATTAGAATTATGAATCCTTCAATCGGCGCTATCAGTAAATTTACTGAAATCAGTAAATGGAAATATTTTTAATACTTTTAATGAAACTAAAGTAACGGGACTGTAGGCGTAACTTTATGTGACCCTTCATTTGTAGAATGGCTTGTCAGATTCAGAACAGTACCTTCTTAAACTGTGACGGACCTATCCTTATTTATCTATAGAAACGCTTGCAATGGTTACATGTTTACATACGTTAAACATTTCTTTATAAAACGGAATAAATTATCAAATGATTGAAAGTCGTATTTGACCTTATACATTTTTCATAAAAAAACAGTAATTAGAAAATAGCTCTAGTCCTGGCATTTTTCATAAAAAAACAGTAATTAGAAAATAGCTCTAGTCCTGGCATTTTTCATAAAAAACAGTAATTAGAAAATAGCTCTAATCCTGGCATTTTTCATAAAAAACAGTAATTAGAAAATAGCTCTAGTCCTGGCATTTTTCATAAAAAAAAAAAAAAAATCAGAAAATAGCTCTAGTCCTGGAATTTCCAAAATGAGGACTGCCATTTTGTGCTGTCTATAATACCGGAGAAATGAATGATTTTGTTCAGAAAAAGCAAATTTGTTGTTAAAAATTCCAAACAAAATTTTGAATATCTCTTGTAACTTTGAAAGAACAAAAACCGAATTCATCTTATCTATACCTGGAATTTATTATTAACAACAAATAATTAAAAGCTAAAAAATGCATTTAAGAAGAAAAGAACTTTTATTGATAACTAAACTATTCAAATAGCTTAAAGATGGAAATTTAAGAAAATAATTGAACAGATTGATTTACAGTTTCCCTGAGCAACCAATCCACGCCAGGATAATTTAGAAGAGGTCTGAACAGGAGAGGTAGGTTCCGAACACAGACTTCTTGAAAAGAGTTTGGAAGAATTCTACGAGGAGATAGAAATCTGTAAACACTAAATCCCAAATCCAAAGACAGCAGTAGGATGAGTTTTATGTACTGTACTGCAACATCTTGATTTGTAAACAATGGTAGGCCAAGGTACCCGGAGCAGGAAATGACCAAAACGAGAGAGATAGAAATTGTAATGTTCCTCCAAAGATCCAAAGCGCTTGTTACTCGCATAAAAATAACTAATTCCACCAGTAAGACGTAAAGACCCAGTGTTTCAATGTTTGCCATGTTGGCCGGATGTTCTCTAAATTTGAAGAAGAGCTCTGAAACCACGTGCCTGTAGTTAGAGATGAGCATCATCTTTTAGAGACAACAAAAACAATAGAGCGCACGAAAAAAAAAAAGGTTCAAATGATCTTACAAAAAAAATATCGTTTTTTTCTAAGCATATATTTTTTGAGTAAACTTTAAAAAAAATATGGTGAAGTCTTGCTGAACGAACGAATTTGTCAAAAAAAAAAATTGAAAAAAAAGATATTTTTACTGATTAAACGATTTTACTGTACAATTGTTCAGTGCGAAAACGATCGAATTTGATGAAAATGAATGATTATTTTGAAAACAAACGAAATAAATTTGTTTAGAACGATTGAAATAAAAACGAACAAAATGAAAAAACGCCTAAAACGCCCATCTCTACCTATAGTTTGTTAAAAGTTGAATATCCCCGGCTTCTGAAGGATGGATCTGAGTTGTAAGTAAAGGAGCAGGGTTTCCCATCCGCCGGTTAATTTCATCCCATGCCCAGGTCTCATACTTGCTCCTCAAACATCTCTGCCATATCCAGACCGGAAATAGAAGGTAGAACCAAGGAATAACCAGGGTGTGTTCGATAAGTGAATGTACAACCACCACCGTTGTATCAATCTGTGTAACATTTGTGTTCATTTTTAAAATTTCGAAAAGAAAAAATTCGCGGATTTTCAGAAACAAGTTGGAACATTTATCAATAAAGCATTTGTAAAATACATGTTTTTAAAAAGCTTACAATTTTTTATCATGTTGAGAATGCTAAAACTAAACAGTTCTTAAAGCTTAATTGTAAAAATTGTAAAATTTAAGATTTTAAGAACACGAAGAAGAACTTTCCCGTGATTCTTTCGAGTTCCCCAATAAAAATGATTTATCATCGAACATCTAAACATTCAAACAGAGATTACTACTTTATAAGTATAAAATATGTCTGAAAGCATGAGATACCAGCAGTAATAATAATAATTCTTCTAAATCTAACACGCTCAGTCCCATTTGAACAATACCTTAAAGGGACTGTAAGCGTAATTTCAAGTGAACCTCCATTCAAAACTTAATCTGATCAACAAGGTGAAAGAACTGTCGTTTTCTGACTCAGAAAGTGTTTATTTCTGTGAGTTTCTCCATTGCTTCTGAAATGTGCAAGTCACTTTTGCAGAGAACCCCTAATTGAAAATCAACAGTTTAAATGAATTAAAAACACTGATATATAATTCATACTTGATGAGACAAAGCTTTCAAGGGTACCGTTGTAAATTGGACTTTGCCATTTTTGCACGAAGAGTCACTTAAAATTACGCATTCAGTCCCTTTAAGAAAACCTGGCTGGGATTATATCTATGATAATACAAAGAATAAATTCAATTGTGTTTATATTGATGAGAAACTTCAAGACGGATGAATATCCCGGGGTTGATGATTTGCTCCAGGTGCACCCAGGAACACGAGAAGAATCTTCAACTAGAAATACGATCCTTCAAGGCAGGTTTGATCAGTGCTCAATGATCAAACTTCTTTTTTGGTACAGTGGTTTTCATAAACTAGGGGAAATTAGATCAAAATTTTGGATATACCAAAAATGCACGGACCCACGTCAAACTAAAGTAAAGTTTACGGAAGATAATGTGGAATAAATTTAGCCATCTCCTTCTTTATATCCCTAAGTTTATTTTCAAACTATAACAAATAAATATTTGGATTTAAACAAAATAGACAATTTGATCCGTGACAATTATAAAGATTATTGGCAATATGACAATCTAGTATCATTTGTTGCCAACCGTAATATAAAGCATCTAATTTTGATTTCTAAAATTGTATTTGAAATATTTGAATAACAAAATGAGTTTTGGTTTACGGAGATGAATTTATTTCCTTATCAGCAGACCATTTTTTTTCTTCAGTTTGCTAGGTATTTGCATATGCTAATTCTGCTGTGGTTATTGCAAAAATAAATGCATAAAATAGTAGTTTGTAAAAGATACGTGATTTGTAGTCTAGTGTAATGTTTAATGACAAGAATTGAGTCTGGTGGCAATAATGGATCGTCATCGTTTAGTGCACTCCGTTTTTAAACATAGTAGGATTCTTCTTTATCAAATGTTGACACTTTTTCTTTGTTTACATTGTAAAACAATTTTGAAAAAGTTCGCGGATTTTATTATTGTTTTTTGCGCTCGATAGGTTGACCTTTATTGGACACAAACAGACAGACAAGCAAACAGACAGACAGACAAGTATATCTTCTATATAATAAAACAAGTCATTCGTATATATATTCCTTATAGGCGGCCAAACGGCTGGACCGAATGGGATGCCATTTTTTGAGGGAGGCTAAAAAAGAAGAATTATTTTTCAAAATTTTAAATAAATTCCACGGGCACCGCCGGGCACTTCAGCTAGTATATATGTATATAAGGTTATTTGACTTTTAAGAAATGTTTTGCTTTTTAAATTGTGCAAAATTTTACTACGGCCAAAGTAACACGATATCTCTAAATCTAACTCAGGAACCCTTGGACCGATTTGCCCCAAATTTTGATTGAGTTACAAATACTAAATTAAGTGGACTTAATTTTATAGGGAAAGTACTGTTTCCATACGAAGCAGTGTGTCCATCCAAGGCAGGGGCGGATATTTTTGTCTATAAAAGCTTTTAACACTTTTGTGGGTTTTACGTTTCTAAGATGTCTCTATGAATGTTCATTAGGGCCAGATCATTAAATCTGTCATCGTTCATGTTAGCTTTTTCTTAAAGCATATTAAAGTATCTGCTGGAAAACAAGTTACAGAAAACTTTTAGGTTATATTAAGAAATGTTTTGCTTTTTAAATTGTGCAAAATTTTTACTATGGCCAAAGATATCTCTAAATCTAACTCAGGAACCCTTGGACCGATTTGCCCCTAATTTTGATTGAGTTACAGATACTAAATTAAGTGGACTTAATTTTATAGGGAAAGTACTGTTTCCATACGAAGCAGGGGCGGATATTTTTGTCTATAAAAGCTTTTAACACTTTTGTGGGTTTTACGTTTCTAATATGTCTCTATGAATGTTCGTTAGGGCCAGATCATTAAATCTGTCATCGTTCATGATGGCTTTTTGTTAAAGCATATTAAAGCATCTGCTGGAAAACCTTGTTACAGTAAACTTTTAGGTTATAGTCTCCGGAAAAGGGGGGGGGGGTCAAAAGATACTCTTGACCCCTTGACCCCCCACCCCCCCATGGATCCGCGCCTGCTAATCCTGGTTTTAATTTGATTGTTTATTATGTAGATATTCTAATGAAAGGTTAATTGTGATTAACAAAAGCAAACTTATAGAGATTACATTTTTTGAATATATTATTCATCTCAATTCTCGTGGAGTCTCAACTGCACCTTTCATGTATTAAAACCAGTTTAAATATTAGAATAATAAAAAACATGACAGAAATCCCTTGATCATAGGTCGGGTGTTAACAATAAATCGAGTAATATGACGGACATCAACTGTTAGGAGGTCGGGTTTGAACAATGAATAATGAAATGGCGGAAATCTATTAATGGTAGGTTGGGTTTCAAGCAAAACATATCACGAAACGACGGTTATTTACAACCAGTTGGTCGAGTTTAAGCAGTAATACATTACACTATGACGGACATACAATGCTTATAAGTCGGGTTTGAACAATGTTGAATCCGGGGGCGGTTCATGCCGTTTCTTCGAGATATAGTTCACGACCCGTATCCTTGGTTTCTTGGTCATCATAACCCTCATACATTCAGATTTCTTAACCATCAAACCTTAAACATCAAACGAGAAACATTAAACCTTAAACATTAAACCTTGAAGGGACTGTAAACGTAATTTCAAGTTATCCTTCATGCCCTATTCACAACGGTACCCTTGGAACCTTTACCTGTGTCCGAATTTAATGAATTTAAGCCGCGTCTCAAATTCTACAAAAACCGGTTTTAATTGAGCGCCGGCTTAAATCTTGAGAAAAATACAATTAAAAGTGGAACCAACCAATTCTTTAAATTCGGCCTCTGATCATTTAAAAGGAATATATTGTCTTTTTTTCTATGTTTAAAAGTGTTTGAATAAACCCAATATGTATCCTAGTACGTACTACGAAGTGTAAACCAATGGGACCAGAAAAGTTTGAATTATATGTCCATTGTCCATAGTCCATGTTCCTCTTTTTGAAAATGTTGTTTCTTGTCAAAAGTGACTTGCGCATTTCTTCTGCAGAAGCAAGGGACGGGAAAATTTCCACATTTATGATAAGATTAAGGTTTTAAAAGTGCCTTTGCATAAGATAGGGCACCCTCCTCTTTAAATAGGGGCTCACTTATAATATCAACGTCAATCCTTTTAAACTTTTTCGAAATTTCTTTATTTGCACAGCAACCCCTCGAGTTAGATTTGTTTAAAGTTCGACTTTATAAATTCATCAGAAATATCTAGGAGCGGGATTTAATCTAATTATAAATCTAGGAGTGGGATTTAATCTAATTCTATATCTAGGAGTGGGATTTAATCTAATTATATATCTAGGAGTGGGATTTAATCTAATTCTATATCTAGGAGTGGGATTTAATCTAATTCTATATCTAGGAGTGGGATTTAATCTAATTCTGTATCTAGGAGTGGGATTTAATCTAATTCTATATCTAGGAGTGGGATTTAATCTAATTATATATCTAGGAGTGGGATTTAATCTAATTATATATCTACGAGTGGGATTTAATCTAATTATATATCTAGGAGTGGGATTTAATCTAATTCTATATCTAGGAGCGAGATTTAATCTAATTCTATATCTAGGAGTGGGATTTAATCTAATTATATATCTAGGAGCGGGATTTAATCTAATTCTTTATCTAGGAGTGGGATTTAATCTAATTCTATATCTAGGAGCGGGATTCAATCTAATTCTATATCTAGGAGCGGGAATTAATCTAATTCTATATCTAGGAGCGGGATTTAATCTAATTCTATATCTAGGAGCGGGATTTAATCTAATTCTATATCTAGGAGCGGGATTTTATCTAATTCTATTTCTAGGAGCGGGATTTAATCTAATTCTATATCTAGGAGCGGGATTTAATCTAATTCTTTATCTAGGAGCGGGATTTAATCTTATTCTATATCTAGGAGCGGGATTTAATCTAATTCTATTTCTAGGAGCGGGAATTAATCTAATTCTGTATCTAGGAGCGGGATTTAATCTAATTCTTTATCTAGGAGCTGGATTTAATCTAATTCTATATCTAGGAGCGGGATTTTATCTAATTCTTTATCTAGGAGCGGGATTTAATCTAAATCTATTTCTTGGAGCGGGATTTTATCTAATTCTATTTCTAGGAGCGGGATTTAATCTAATTCTATTTCTAGGAGAGGGATTTTTTCTAATTCTATATCTAGAACCGGGATTTAATCTAATTCTATATCTAGGAGCGGAAATTAATCTAATTCTATATCTAGGAGTGGGATTTAATCTAATTCTATATCTAGGAGCGGGATTTAATCTAATTCTAATTAGCATAATGTTCCACCACAGGTTTGTAATGTTTTTCATTTTTATTTATAAAAAAATTGACTATTTAAAAGAGTGCTGTCGACTTGATTCAAGTAACTATTTAAACAGGGGAATAACATTTAACCTTCGACGGAATATAC